TTTTTTCCCCCCCCCCCCAAATGGGTTTTAAAAAAAACCCCCTTTAAAAACCCCCCCCCCCCCTAATTTTTTAACCCCCCCCCCCCCCCAAAACCCCCCCCAAAAAAAACCCCCCCAAAAAACAAAACCATCAACCCAAAAAAAAAAATTTTTTTTTTAAAAAAAACCCCCCCCCCCCCAAAAAACCCCGGGGGGGAAAAAAAAAAAACCCCCCCCCCCCAAAACCAACCCCCAAAACCCCCCAAAAAACCCCCCCCCCCCCCCCCCCCCCCCCCCCCCCCCACACTTTTCCCCCAAAACCAAATTTCCCCCCCCAAAACAAAAACAAACAAAACCCCCCCCCCCCCCGGGAAACCCCCCAAAACCCCGGAACAAAAAAACCCCCAAACCCAGCCCCAATAAAGGGGGGGGGCCGAAAAGGGGAAAAAAAAAAAAAGGGGGTTTTTTTGGGGAAAAAATTTTTTTTCCTTTTCCCCCTTTTTTTTTTCAGGGCCTAGAGACTCACTAACTTTGGGTGGCCTTTTATCTTCGCTCCAGCTATCCTAGTCACGCCCCTCGGGGTGTTCTCCATCGTATGGACGGCGGCGCTTTCCCCCTACTTCCTGAAGGAGCGGCTGGGCATGTTGGGAAAACTGGGCTGTATTTTGGTACTAGTGGGCTGTATTGTCGTCACTCTGTGTGGACCCAAAGATAGAGAGATAGCCAGCATGGAGGAGTTGCAATCCCAGCTGCTACATCCAGGCTTCCTTGTTTATGCTGGTCTGGTAGTAGTGGTGTCATTGGTGTTCATGGCACTGGTGCCTCGCTACGGCCACCGCTACGTCATCCTCTACATCACCATCTGCTCTTGCTTCGGCTCACTCTCAGTCATGTTCTGTAAAGGTGTGGGTTTAGCACTGAAACAGACGATCGGTGGCATCAACCAGTTCACTAACTGGGCTACCTGGGTGTGTCTAGTGGCACTAGTGGTGTGTCTACTCATAGAGACGGTGTACATGCAGCGAGCACTCGACCTCTTCAACAGCTCAGTATTCATGTCTATCAACTATGTTCTTTTCACTTCACTGGTCATCGTCGCCTCATCCATTCTCTACACAGAACTGCAAGAGATAGGCGTTAAGAACATCATCCTCACTCTTCTTGGCTTTATTGTCAACATCGTGGCACTCTTCCTCTTGCACTTGGACAAGGAAGACACAAGCCCTCAAACCTCAGACACAGAGAGGGAGGAGAGGCAGGCGTCGCCGCAGCTGGCAAAGACTGACCTGGCAGGTATAGAACAGGGCACACCGTTGCTGGGACGTGCCCCTGCCTCTCCCTTGGCGGGCCTCAACCTGTCCCACACTATGTTCCCAGCCAAGACCAACTCGTGCATGTCACTAATCAGCCAGAACAGCATACAACAACATTCTGGCACCCATATACATCCCCACGGTGCTAACCCTGACAACAGCAGCCAACGTAGCAACACAAGTGAAGACAGCAGCAGCAACAGCAGCAGGGGCGGCGGCAGTAGTGCAGACGGTAGCAGAAGCAGCAGTAGGAGTGATCATAATGAGACTCTGAGAAGGCGAGAGACACACAATGTAAGTGAGTGCAACAGAGGACACTGTAGGTCCTCGTCCACTTGCATGTGCGAAGTGCCACTTCTGACTAAACTTCACACATCAAATTGTAAGCTTGCCAACCAACCATCTAGCCCAGAGATGGGTGTCACTAACAACAGTAGAGGTAGCAATTGCAGCAACAAGCCAGGCGAGGTCAGTGTCAGTGTAGATGATAATATTACAGTCTCTTTTCACGAGGAACACAAGCATGCGCTCGTGTGATCCCGGCTAACCCAGTATTACCTCAGTGCAACATGCATTACGCACTGGTTCTCACTCATGACTCGTACCACACTAATAAACCTGATTCTCGTATTGCACCAAAAATAATTGTTACATAAACTTCCCAGTATGCTATATAAATAATGAAAATAAGAGATTATTAAGTAATTAATGACAATTACATTTTGACTTGGCTACAACACCGTAAACGATAAAATGAGTATGTATTGAATCATTATGTACACAACGTTCAGAAGTGACACCCATCTCGTGAGCGACTCCCGTCTCGTGAGCGACTCCCGTATCGTGAGTAGCCCCTTCTTTCCCCAAAACACACACACACACACACATCAAATACTGAATTCCGTGTGTATGATGTGTATATTTTGTTTATTACGTATTGTGCTCCTTGTGTATGATGTATTGCACCCTGTGTATGATGTTCGATTCCCGGCGGGTGGAAACATTTCGACACGTTTCCTTACACCTGTTGTCCTGTTCACCTAGCAGCAAATAGGTACCTGGGTGTTAGTCGACTGGTGTGGGTCGCATCCTGGGGGACAAGATTAAGGACCCCAATGGAAATAAGTTAGACAGTCCTCGATGACGCACTGACTTTCTTGGGTTATCCTGGGTGGCTAACCCTCCGGGGTTAAAAATCCGAACAAAATCTTATCTTAAGAAGCAAGATCACCACCCATCTAGAAACCCATCAGTTACACAACCCAGGGCAACATGGGTTTAGAACAGGTCGCTCCTGTCTGTCTCAACTATTGGATCACTACGACAAGATCCTAGATGCACTAGAAGACAAAAAGAATGCAGATGTAATATATACAGACTTTGCAAAAGCCTTCGACAAGTGTGACCATGGCGTAATAGCGCACAAAATGCGTGCTAAAGGAATAACAGGAAAAGTCGGTCGATGGGTCTATAATTTCCTCACTAACAGAACACAGAGAGTAGTCGTCAACAGAGTAAAGTCCGAGGCAGCTACGGTGAAAAGCTCTGTTCCACAAGGCACAGTACTCGCTCCCATCTTGTTCCTCATCCTCATATCTGACATAGACAAGGATGTCAGCCACAGCACCGTGTCTTCCTTTGCAGATGACACCCGAATCTGCATGACAGTGTCTTCCATTGCAGACACTGCAAGGTTCCAGGCGGACATCAACCAAATCTTTCAGTGGGCTGCAGAAAACAATATGAAGTTCAACGATGAGAAATTTCAATTACTCAGATATGGTAAACACGAGGAAATTAAATCTTCATCAGAGTACAAAACAAATTCTGGCCACAAAATAGGGCGAAACACCAACGTCAAAGACCTGGGAGTGATCATGTCGGAGGATCTCACCTTGAAGGACCATAACATTGTATCGATCGCATCTGCTAGAAAAATGACAGGATGGATAATGAGAACGTTCAAAACGAGGGATGCCAAGCCCATGATGACACTCTTCAGGTCACTCGTTCTTCTAGGCTGGAATATTGCTGCACACTAACAGCACCTTTCAAGGCAGGTGAAATTGCTGACCTAGAAAATGTACAGAGAACCTTCACGGCGCGCATAACGGAGATAAAACACCTCAATTACTGGGAGCGCTTGAGGTTCCTGAACCTGTATTCCCTGGAACGCAGGCGGGAGAGATACATGATTATATACACCTGGAAAATCCTAGAGGGACTAGTACCGAACTTGCACACGAAAATCACTCAGTACGAAAGCAAAAGACTTGGCAGACGATGCAACATCCCCCCAATGAAAAGCAGGGGTGTCACTAGCACATTAAGAGACCATACAATAAGTGTCAGGGGCCCGAGACTGTTCAACTGCCTCCCAGCATACATAAGGGGGATTACCAACAGACCCCTGGCAGTCTTCAAGCTGGCACTGGACAAGCACCTAAAGTCGGTTCCTGACCAGCCGGGCTGTGGCTCGTACGTTGGTTTGCGTGCAGCCAGCAGTAACAGCCTGGTTGATCAGGCTCTGATCCACCAGGAGGCCTGGTCACAGACCGGGCCGCGGGGCCGTTGACCCCCGGAACTCTTTCCAGGTAAACTCCAGGTATGCATCGTATGCTCTGTGTAAGAGCCTGCTATGCTATTATTTGCAGCATATTTATGTATCAGTGTACTGTATAACACTGCATAAAGTGACTGCGTGTTTACTGCTGCCTAGCAGCTCATTGTGCCATAATAACATTTGTTTTGTAGATAAATGGTTCAGAGAACGACAAGTTGATAGATTAGACACATGGACAATACTTGGGTATATTTATTAAGGAAACGTTTCGCCCCGCAGTGGCTTCATCAGTCCTATACAAAGAAGAATGATGAAGATCATAAGGAGTTTGAGGTAATCAGTCGCTCATCTTGGAGTCGATGTAATCATTCCATCAATCTTGAAAATTATCTTGTATTCATTAAAGATACCCAAGTGTTGTACACGTGTCTAATTTATCAAGATTTGTTTTAAGCTAAATTTTAAGATGATTCAGACAGCTATTCTTATGCATTGCGCTTTCATTTGCTTACACACACATCTTCAGAGGAAGATGTGTGTGTAAGCACATGAAAGCGCTCAGGTTTTATTTCCTATTTTGACTGTGGTATTTTTTTCATATTTGCAATCACGCATTTTACTGTGATTTCTTACACACACACACACACACACCACACAACACACACACAAACACACACAACACACACACACACACACACACACACACACACACACATATACACACACACACACACATATACACACATATACACACACACACACACACACACACACACACACACACACACACACACACACACACACACACACACACACACACATACAAGCACGCATATACATACATACACACACACACACACACACACATGGGCAACTAGCGAACCTAAGAATAGCATTCCGACATCTCAGCAAGGAGTCGTTCCGGACCCTGTCCACACTGTGTACGCAGGCCCATATTGGAGTATGCCGCTCCAGTTTGGAACCCCTTACCTGGCCAGGCACGTCAGGAAACTAGAGAAAGTGCAAAGGTTTGCAACGAGACTAGTCCCGGAGCTAAGGAGCATGTCCTACGAGTAGAGGTTAAGAAAACTCGACCTGACAACACTGGAATACAGGAGGGACAGGGGAACATGATAACGACATATAAAACACTGAGAGGAATCGACAAGGTGGTCAGAGACAAGATGTTCCAGAGATGGGATACAGCAACAAAGGGTCACAATTGGAAGTTGAAGACTCAAATGAGTCACAGGGATGTTAGGAAGTATTTCTTCAGCCGTAGAGTTGTCAGGAAGTGGAATCTGGAAAGTGAGGTAGTGGAGGCAGTTACCATGCATAACTTTAAGAAGAGGTATGATAAAGCTCATGGAACAGAGAGAGTGGACCTAGTAGTGACCAGTGAAGAGGCGGGACCAGGAGCTATGACTCGACCCCTGCAACCACAATTAGATGAGTACACAAAGGTGGCAGAAGTAAAAAAAAAAACCCACACAGTTTTAAAGACTAGTATGACAAGGCCTATGAGCTACATAACTCATGATATGGGCAGTGGCAAGAGCTGAGACTCGATCTCAAGACCACAACTAGGCGAACACAAATTAAAGTGGTGTATTACAACCACTGAAATGTTAAAGAATTGTTTGACAAGCTAAACAAGTAAGACATCACGAGCCAACAGCTCTTGGAACTTCAACAACAGTCTCTTAGTTTAGAGACTGGGCTACGATTAGTGGACGGGGATCGAGCCTACACAATTTATGTTTGATGTCCCAGACAGGTTTAGTGCCTCTAGAAATACAAATCACTTAACGCGATATTGATTTTTACATTTTTCCGTGAGTTTTCTCATTTTAATACATATTTGTAGTCCCATCGACATTTACGAGTATTTTCTAGTATTTGCCTCGTACATTACTCGTATTACTTACGTTTGCCAAGCACTTCATTACCTCCTATTCCTCAAATGTTGAATGACCCTGAACGGGTCACTGAATGTTCAGTGTTCATATAATGGTATAACTGCCTTGTAGCTTTAAATCATTTAAGTTTGTATTTTTTTATAATTTTCCTGTATTCCGTTCTGTTACAGGCTGTAAATGTTCAGATATTTTTCATTTTGGATAGTAATTTCTAACCAAGTAAGCGAGTGATGCGTTACTGTAGTGTGTGTCTGTGAAGGAAAGACACTATAGAACAAGGTTTCAGTGGGACAAAGTTTCACTCTGTGTAGAGATTTTTCATGACTTGATAGAGCTGCACACAGTGCGAAACGATGTCCCTAGTAAAAGTGTGTTCCACAACCTAAGGTTTTTCTAACTATTGTTGATATTACGCTATTTGGATCCTACTGTGTGTGGATGTCTGATCTGTGGTGTGTTGAGGTGTATATGTCAGCTTTTTAGACAGTCAGACAAGCCAAACTGCATTAATTTTTTTCTTATTGGGTCGACAGTTTATGATGACAGCATAATAAGTAATAATACAGTATGCTGTTTTGTATGTATTCTACCATAGATATAAAAAAAATATTACTGGTACAAATATGTTTCAAGAGGAAATTACACAACTACCTGTTAAAGGTGCCAAATCAGTTATGTAGGGTTGTTGGCAGCCACAGCATGGCTGAATGACAGTTATAAATGTAATCTGGTCTCAGGCTAGGCTTCGAGAGTAGAGCAACCTTGAAATCAGTCATAGATAAGTTACAGGTATGCCACCTCGACTAAACTTGTTAAAATTAACGTAATGCAATTTTAGTTTAATCCTACCCAGCCTGTCTTAGATCAGCATAAATTTGGTGAGTATTATTTAACATGATTAAAATATGTTAATATCGTGATGTTCAGGCTGATTTTTTGTTGAGTTATTGCAATAGTGAATTTACACTTTGCTTGTTTGGCATGATGATCGTTACTTTACGCCAAGATCGCAATAGCTGCCTATAAAGTACAACATATACACACACACACAAATTGCTTACTATATGTTAACACCTACCAGAAAATAGAAAGACATGCAGTTTTGCGTATTTTTACACAGACTCGAGTAACTTTTTTTTATTTGGTCAACTGTTATTGATGACAACATAATGAGCAATAGAGAGTATGTCGTATATTAAGTCAAAAAATGTCGGGTTAGAGCAAGCAGTCCCTGAGGCCACATATACTGGATATGTAATATTTTTTTTTTAAATATGTTAATGTTCATAATTAAATACTCAGATTAATGCTTAAGCCTTAAGGAGTGAGAAGAATATGCTAAACTTATTGCATAGAGACAATAATAGCCTAGGCTATTATAGACTCCATGATATGATTGGAGTTATTATAGTCATCTCCATGACATGATTGGGGTTATAGCCATCTCCATGCCATGATTGAAGTTACTGTTTCCACCTCTATGACATAACTGAAGTTACTATTGCTATATCCTTGACATGATTGGAGTTTTGAGAGCCACCTCCATGACATGATTGAAGTGTGACCTTTGTGTTGAAGTATTAACAGTGTTGAGTCTCAGTTCCATCAAAATCTCAACATAGTATTATGAAGAATACATGTAACGTGTGTAACTTATATGAGGAAGATTGACTGAGGCATTAATAAGCCGCCAGAGATGACTCCATCACTAACTTGGCATTGTATCCTAGCCAGCAAAACAAAGATTTTTGAAATAACGACTCGCTGTGTATTATTATAATCATGAGGAGCGCTGAACCCGTAGGGTTATACAGCGCCTGTGGGGGGATGGAAGGTATTCAGGCTTAATTCAGGGAACTGGAACAAAGATCTACTTCCCTAGATCAAGAGCCCCACACCAGCGTCAAGGAACCTCCCTTGAGGGGTCGCTCTGTGTCAAGCTCTATCAAACTGATTTAATAAAGAGCTAAATATTATTTTGATAAAAGCTTGTTCCGAAACGTACCTTTTCTTTACTTTTGTTGGCAGGACTCCACTTGGATCCACAGATATGGTCGTTGGGGCGTCATCGGCGGGGCTAGCGTCCACTTATCGGGTTCTTACCTACATGATATATAAGATACGTGATTATGTAAGATTTGCAGTTTTCATAAATACTATTTTCATTTATTAAATATCTCTTGTCTAAAAAATATGCATTAGTTATATAAGTACCTGTATTGAGTATAATTGTTAAAATTATATAATATCTAATAAATGCAGAGAACATGTCACACCACAGAATGCAGATACTAATGTCTGCATCAAAGCCGGAACTGTTACAGGCAACTTAAGCTAGATGTTGGAGCAAAACTGAAAATAGAGTAGAAAGTGCTGAATCGAGCAGTATGGGGAGTCTAATTGCTTGAACTTCATAATATCTTCCTCTAAAACTAAGATATTAACAAGCAAACGACATCCCCCACCCATCTATTTGCAGGGTGAAATCATTAGCTACGTTAAAACTTACAGATATCTTGGTGTAGATATACCCTTTAACAAATCCACTATACCACAACTAA